CCTAAAAAGTTATACACAGGCGGGGTGCGGTGGCTCAAGCCTGTAATCCCAGCACTTTGGGAGGCCGAGACGGGTGGATCACGAGGTCAGGAGATCGAGACCATCCTGGCTAATATGGTGAAACCCCATCTCTACCATCCTGGCTAACATGGTGAAACCCCATCTCTACTAAAAATACAAAACCAGGCCTGCGGCGAGGTGACAGTGCGCCTGTAGTCCCAGCTACTCCGGGAGGCTGAGGCAGGAGAATGGCGCAACCCGGAGTCACAGCTTGCAGTGAGCTGAGATCCGGCCACTGCACCCCAGCCTGGGTAACAGAGCGAGACTCCGTCTCAAAAAAAAAAAAAAAAAAAAAAAAAAAAAGTTATACACAAATGTTCATAGCAGCATTATTCATAATAGCAAAAAACAGAAACAACCCAAATGTCCATCCACTGATGAAGGGATAAACAAAATGTGATACTCAGACAATGGAATATTATTTGGCCATCAAAAGGAATAAAGTACTGCTTATGCTATGACATGGAGGAACCTTGAAAACATTATACTAAGTGAAAGCAGTCACTAAGGACTACATGATTCCATTTGTAAACAAATGTATGATTCCATTTGTATAAAACGTCCAGAGTAGACAAATCTGTTTAGACAGGAAGTAGATCAGTGTTGCCAGCAGCCAGAGAGGGAGGGGAATGGGGAGTGACTGCTAAAAGGTGTGAGGTTTCTTTTTGGGAGTGATTAAATGTTCTGGAATTAGATAGTGGTGACAGTTGCACATATTGGGGAATATACTAAAAAACATTGAAAATAAAAATTCTGAATTTTTAAAAAATAAAAAACACTGAATTGTACACTTTAGTGAATTTTGGCCAGGCGCGTGGCTTATGCCTGTATTCCCAGCACTTGGGGAGGCCGAGGCAGGCAGATCACTAAGTCAGGAGATAGAGACCATCCTGGCTAACACAGTGAAACCCCCTCTTTACCTTTTTTTTGTAAAAATACAAAAACAAAAATTAGCTGGGCTTGGTGGTGGGCTCCTGTCATCCCAGCTACTTGGGAGGCTGAGGCGGGAGAATGACGTGAACCCGGGAAGCGGAGCTTGCAGTGAGCCGAGATCACACCACTGCACTCCAGTCTAGGCGACAGAGCAAGACTCCGTCTCAAAAAAAAAAAAAAAAAAAAAAAAAAAAAAGTAGTGAATCTTATGGCATATAAACTGTATCTCAATAAGAAGAGTCCAACAATAAGAATACAAACCACCCAACCTAAAATTGCCAATTTTAAAGTGAGCAAAAGATTTGAACAAACACTTCGCCTAAGAAGAAGACAGATAAATGGCAAGTAAGACTTGAAAAGATGCTCATCATTAAGGAAATGCAAATTAAAACCACAATGAGATGTCACTATACATCTTTTTAAAATGTTTTGAGTTTAAAAGGCCATACAATAAATAAGTAAATAAAACTATTCCAAATGTTGGCTAGATTATGAAACAACTGGAACTCTCACATACTACTAGTGGTTATGCAAAATAATTCAATGACTTTGGAAACTAGTTTGGCAGCTTCATAAAAAGTTAAAATTCATTTACCATATGACCCAGTCATTCCACAACTAAATATCTACCCAAGAGAAGTGAAAGCATATGTCCATCAAAGACACACACATGACTGTTCATAACAGCTTTATTTGTAATAGCCCCAAACTGGAAACAACCCAAATGTCCATAAACAGGATGAACAAATTGGGATATATCCATATAAGGGAATAGCATTCAACCAAAAAAGGAATGAAATATTGATACATACAACATGGGTGAGGGGCAAAATAATTGTGATGAGTGAAAGAAACCAAACAGAAGGAAAAGAAATATATACTGGAAGATTCCATTTGTATAAAATTTTTTAAATGCAAACTAAACTACAGTGACAGAAAGCAAAGCAGGCTGGGCACAGTGGCTCACACCTATAATCTCAGCACTTTGGGAGGCCGCGGAGGGCAGATCACTTGAGGTCAGGAGTTTGAGACCAGCCTGGCCGACATGGTGAAACCCCATCTCTACTAAAAATCCAAAAAAATTAGCCAAGTGTGGTGGCACAGGGCTGCAATCCTAGCTACTCGGGAGGCTGAGGTAGGAGGATCGTTTGAACCTGGGAGGTGGAGGTTGCACTGAGCCAAGATCACGCCAGTGTATTCCTGGCTGAGTGACAGAGCAAAAGAAAGAAAAGAAAAGGAAAAAGGAAAGGAAAGAGAGAAAAAGAAAGAAAGAGAGAAAGAGAAAAAGAAAAAAAGAAAAGCAGTGGTTGGTGGGTAGATGTGAGAGAGGGAGGAATTACAACAGAATAGTCAGGAAGCTTTGGGAGTACTGAATATGTTCACCATCTTGATTGTGGTGATGTTTTTGTGTGTATACATGTCAAAACTTACCAAATTTGTATACTTTATTTGAGACAGGGTCTTATTCTGTCACCCAGGTGGGGATGCAGTGGCACAATCACAGCTGACTGCAGCCTCAAACTCCTGGGGTCAAGCACTCCTCCTGCCTCAGCCTCTCAAGCAGCTGGGACTATAGGTGTATGCTACCACACCTGGCTATTATTGTTTGTTCGTTTGTGGAGACAGGGTCTCAGCATATTGCTTTGCCTGGTCCAGGACTTCTGGGCTCAAGCGATCCTCCCACCCCAGCCTCTCAACGTGCTGGGATTACAGGCATGAGCCACAGTACCCAGACAGCACACAGTTTACTGTATATCAATTATATCTTACTAAAGCTGTTTAGAAAAAAGAAACTACAATCTAAAAACAATATAACTCGCTGGGCGCAAGGGCTCACAGCTATAATCCCAGCATTTTAGAACACCAAGGTAGGTGGATTGCTTGAGCTCAGGAGTTGGAGATCAGTCTAGGCAACACAGTGAGAACCCATCTCTACAGGAAATATAAAAATTAGCCAGACATGGTGGTGTGCGACTATAGTTCCAGCTACTAGGAAGTGGAAGGATGGCTTGATTCCAGGAGGCGGGGATTGCAGTGAGTCATGATCGTGCCATTGCACTCCAGCTTAGGCAACATAGCAAGACCCTACCTCAAATATAAATAAATAAATACATACATTATCATACCAAAATTTGGGTGATGCAGTTAAGGCAGTACCTCAAGAGAAACTTACAGCTATGCTACATTTAAAAAGGTATATAATCAATGACCTATGATTCCACCTTAACATGTTAGGAAAAAAACAGCAAAGTGAATATACAAAGTTAGTAAAGTGAAGGGAATGATAAACAGAATGAAATAAAAACAAACAATAGAAAAAACAATATATTTAGCACAAGCCACTTCCCACTGCAACGACCGAAGTAAGAAAACCTCCGAATCCCACACTATTTGTTATATACCTCCATAAAACATAGGGGCTTGGGCTCCAACCATTCTTCTGAGCTCTTGAGCTTGGGAAGTGCGCCAGTTACCAGATCATCACTGTCTACATTTTTCATTGTGGTCACAAATAAATAGTGCCCCTAGAAAAACTAAAAATCATCTTATTTAGTATTGAAAATTTCACAGTCATCTGATTTTCTCTTCTGTTTAATACCACCTGTGTCCTTGCACACACGCAAAATGGATTTTGAACACGAACCATCCAGTTTCCCTAACAAAAGGCCTTCACTACAGACTCCAGATGACGGCTTCAGAGCCAGCCTCCTTTGTAAGCAGGCAACATGCTCTTTGAAAGAAACCCCCGTCCCTTGGAATGAATTCCCACGGCCCCCTCCAAGGTGGCCCATTCCAGCCAGTGTTGCAGCTTCAGCCTGGCCTCTGGGAGTCCCATTTGCAGCACTTTTCTGACTTTGGTGGCCTCGAGTGGGGAGAACTGCAACTTTCCAGCCAGAGAAACACAGGCTGAGCTACTTAGAGAAGGCAGGGAGGGGCTTTTGGTCATACTGTGCAAGTCTTCGAGCTCTGCACGGCCCGAAGTCCTCCCCGAGGCCCGGGTGAGACGGGGATGTCGTCAGCGTCCGCACCCGCTCTCGCCCACCGAGCCCACTCCCGGCCCTTCCTCCCACCCGCTAGGCCTGGCGCCTGCGGCCTCCACGCCAGACCCTGGGTCGCGGGCCTCCCGCGCAGGCGCGTTGTGCGCGGGGACCGCCCGGCCTGGCAGGGAGGTCGCCCGCCGCAACAGGCACCTCTCTGCCCTCCCAAGGCCAGCAAGTCCGCGGCCGTCCTGCTCCACACTCGGGCCCGGCCCGACGGCCCCGGAGTCGTCCGGCTGCGGCTGAAAGGGAGCCCGCCCGCGTGTGCGGAACGCGCGAATGTTGGCGCCCACTGTCTCCCGGACGCAGCGCCGCGCAGACCGTCCGCCCCCTCCGCCGCGGGTTCCACAGCGAGTCCGCGCGGGAGGCGTCAGGGCGGCGGAGGACTGCTTCAGGCCCAAAGGGGATTGGGCGGCGGCTCTAGCTGGCGGGTCTTGGTTTGCGGAAGGGGCTGGAGTCCTAGCTTCTGGGTGACCGGCGCGAGGCCCGGCCAATCCCGCCGCCGCCACCCACCCGCAACCGCGTCGGTTGACGGGCGGGTCCTTGGTCGCCGGCCCCTTGCGGAGCACCAGAGAGCGGGGTGGCGTCCGCTCCCTCAAGTCCTCGGTACCGGGGAATTCACCGCTCACCACCCCCTGCCCCGCCTTCGGTCCTGCTCGGGGACCAAACCACTGGAAGGCAGTGGCGGGAAAGGGGCGCCTGTGCCGGAGGTCCTGATGAGGGGCTCCAAGGCTTGGGGACTTGTGCGGGAAATGTGGGTTTAAGTGCCTTCAAGGTGTTTTTAGTCCGTTGGGATGTTGATCAGCTTTCGTAGCGGGCGCTGTTGCAGGTCACCGGGAAAGGAATGTGTAGGTTTATGGCCACGCATATCTCTTTTAGTCGTGTTTAACTTAGCGGAGTAGCGCTCCATCCTGGGTTTTGTTTTTTGTTGTTTTTGTTGTTGTTTTACAGGGTTTTTCTCAGTGTACAATGTTTGTTTTTAAATCCCAGATGATCCTGATGTAAACCATTGACATAGCCAGAAAATCATGAGGCTGTGATTTTCCAAACTCAGCTTCATAACCTACTCTGTGTGAGCTGTGATTTTTCTATGATTCTGTTTTTCTCTTTGGGTATTGGTGGGCCCTGAATGATGGACCACCGTTTTCACTCTGTGTCTTTTCAAAGTACACTTGCTGATCTTAGAACTGCCTGAAGTGTCCTAAGGACATTTGTATTAACATGCCTTTTAAAAGCTAGCCAGAGTCGATGGCTTCAACTGCACTTTCCCTTTCAGAGTTGAGGGAACATGAGCCATTTGCAGAGCTTATTGTTAGACACCCTCTTGGGAACCAAGCATGTGGACAGTGCAGCCCTCATCAAAATCCAGGAGCGGAGCCTGTGTGTAGCATCACCAGGTTTTAATGTAAGAAAAAACAAGTTTGGACATAAGACTTAGTTTACTTATTATTTCTATTCTTCCAAACATGAAGCAGACATGACTTTTTTTTTTTTTTTTTTTTGAGATGGAATTTCACTCTTGTTGCTTAGTCTGGAATGCAGTGGCGCGATCTCAGCTCACTGCAACCTCCGCCTCTCAAGCGATTCTTGTGCCTCAGCCTCCCGAGTAGTTGGGATTACAGGAGTGCACCACTAGGCCCGGCTAATTTTTGTATTTTTAGTAGAGATGGTGTTTTACCATGTTGATCAGGCTAGTCTCGAGCTCCTGACCTCAGGTGATCCACCTGCCTCGGCCTCCTAAAGTGCTGGGATTACAGGCATGAGCCAGCGTGCCCAGCCCAGATATGACTTTTAAATGAACTTTTTCTGTGAAGAGCTACATAAAAATTTTAGGTTTCTAGGCTTAGTCTTTTTACTGTTGATATAAAGGAATACCTGAAGCTGGGTAATTTATAAAGAAAATAGGTTTATTTGGCTCACAGGTCTACTGCCTGGAAGATTAGTCATCTATGAAAGCCTCGGGCTGCTTCCACTCATGGCAGAGGTGAAGGGGAGCCAGCATGTGCAGAGATCACAGTGGGGGAGAGGAAGCAAGAGAGAGCAAGTGGAGAGGTGCCAGGCTCTTTCTAACAGCCAGCCCTCCTGGAGCAAATACAGTGAAAATTCACTGACAGCTTCCCCCACCTCGCAGGGAAGGCATCAGTCTATTCATGAGGGATCTGCCCCCATGATCCAAATACCTCCCATTAGGCCCCACCCAAAATGTTGGGGATCAGATTTCAACATGAGATTCAAACTACAGCACAGGGCCATAGAGTCTCTGTCACAACCACTCAACTCTGCAGTTGTAAAGGAAAAACAGCCATACATAGAAGAATGAATGTGACTGTGTTCCCATAAGATTTTATATTTATGGATACTGAAGTTAAAATTTCATATAATTTGTGTCACGAAGTGTTATTCTTTTGATTTTTTTTTCCCAACCATTTAAAAACATGAAAACCATTCTTAGCTTGCAGGCCATAAAAAACAGACAGTGGGCTAAATTTGGCTGGCCACCAGCCATAGTTGGCTGACTCCTGTTCTAACTATGTAACCTCTCCAGGTAATGCCCAGTGATGTCCGAACACTGGTGAATGGATTTGCCAAGAACCCTTTGCAAACCCGAAGAGAAGGATTGTATTTCAAGGAAAAGGATTACAGATGTGTCCGGGCAGATGAATATTCTCTTTATGCCAAAAATGTGAGCACTCAAGATTTGAAGAGAGCTGAGTAAAAGAAAAGAATTTGCCTCCAATTTTCCTTGCCCTGCCTGATCCTCTCTGTAAAACAGATTAAATCCATTAATGTCTTGAGCCACTGTCTTGAGATAGCAGTTTAGTGCCAGGAAGACATATGTGAAAGAAAGTCCTATCAAGAGCCTGGTTTTGAGAAATGTTCATTCCGGAATCTATTAACTGAGCCTTGCCTGAACTCTTTCCAATACAGTCCAGCCTTCATACTCTACATCCTCCTTCAAAAAAAAGATAATCATTTATGCGCTTAAAACATCTCTCAGTGGCCAGGCACGGTGGCTCATGACTGTAATCCCAGCACTTTGGGAGGCTGAGGTGGGTGGATCGCCTGAGGTCAGGAGTTCAAGACCAGCCTAGCTAACATGGTGAAACCCTGTTTGTACTAAAAATAAAATTAGCCAGGTGTGGTGGTGCACACTTGTAATCCCAGCTACTCAGGAGGCCAAGGCAGGAGAACTGCTTGAACCCAGAAGGCAGAGGTTGCAGTGAGCTGAGATCATGCCATTGCACTCCAGCTTGGGCAACAAGAGTGAAACTCCATCTCAAAAAAAAAAAAAAAAAAAAAATTCAGCTCTATGTTGCTTGTAAGGAATGAAGGAGATGAAAATCATTCATTGGATGCCCTATATTATGGGTTAAGCATGCTGCTTCATCCACATTATAAACTAAATAATCTATAATCTCATTTTACAGATGAGGACACTGCTTATTCATGCAGCAGAAAATGGAGGCACTAGAATTCAAGCCCAGGGCTATCCAATTCCAAAATGTACGACCTTTCCATTACATCAGTTTTTCTTTTTGTTTGTTTGATTTTGTTTTTGTTTTTTGAGATGAGTTTCACTTTTGTCACCCAAGGTGGAGTGCAATGGCATGGTCTCGGCTCACTGCAACCTCCACCTCCTGGGTTCAAGAGATTCTCCTGCCTCAGCTTCCTGAGTAGCTGGGATTACAGGCGCCTGCCACCATGCCTGGTTAATTTTTGTACTTTTAGTAGAGACGGGGTTTCATGATGTTGGCCAGGCTGGTCTCAAACTTCTGACCTCAGGTGATCTTACTGCCTTGGCCTCCCAAAGTGCTGGGATTACAGGCGGGAGCCACCGCACCCAGCCTACATCAGTTGTTCTAATTGGGATGGGGTATGTGATAATCAATTGCAGAACTTTTCAGAATCCATCTACCATTATTATAACAGTCTGAAACTTTTTGAGGAAAGGCAACAAAATTGGTGGAAAAGAGTGGACAGTCCAAAAGCAGACATATAAACATATGGAATACGGAAATCAGGAAATAGTGAAAAACGTAGCTGGAGCATGACTACTGGTCCTGTAATTAGAACCAAGAGCAGAATATTCTCTTTTATTCTTTATCCAGGAGAACGCTGGTGTGGTTGTCGTGAAGACCCATCTGTATCTTCTGGTGGCAACTTATACTGAGGGCATGTATCCTAGTGTCTGTGTGGAAGCCACAGAGAGCCTGGGTAAGTTGGCCTCCTAGTTCCTGTCTTCATTCCCTGTGTTAGTTGGGTCTTCTGACTACAAGTCACAGAGATCCAACTCAAACCAGCTAGGGCAGAAAGGAGGAATTTATTGGAAGGATGCTGAGGTTATTTACATAGCCACTGGAAGGACAGGGTGCAGCTGAGCCATGGGGAAGGTAGATTCAAGGACTGGAACACTGCTAGGATTCTGTCTTGACTTCTAAATGAGTCAGCTTTGTTCTGTCTCATAGCAAACCGTTTCCTTTCCTGGCTGATATCGTGGCCAAGCCTCCCATAATACCCCTTAATTTATCTTAGGACCCTGATTTGGCAAGTTTCAGGTCATATGGTTTACCCCTGCATTGGTCAGCTATGTAGGTGGGGCAGGATAGGGGAGGAGGGATACAGCAGGGTAAAAAGACAGAGATGTGGCTGCTGGGAGTCGACCCTATGTAAAGAGACATTTTACAGGAAAAGGAATTACTGTGAGTCAGGCAGCCACTTTGTTGGTGTATAGTGTATTCCCCCTCTGTGTCTATACATTTTTGAATAAAGATCTCATAGAGAACTAGCTTGGGTATTATATCGGTGAGAGTTGAGCTTAATAAATGGTAAATTGTGTTTGTTTTTAGATTTTTTTAATCTAAATTTAAAATTTAAAAAGTTTACTGGAGTTGTGTAAACACTCCTTTGAAATAGAAGCCTCTAGTAACAAAAGCAGCCATTCATTCATTCTTTCAACAAATATTCAGAGGTGTTTACCATGTGCCCTGCACTATCCTAGATAAATTAGGGAAGCAGAGCTGGTTAAGATATAGCCTCTGCCTTCCTTGCCTCTGTACATGCTGTCCTATCTGCCTAAAATATTTTCCAGTTTCCTTCCTGTCCCTCACATCTATTCGGCAAATTCCTAATCATCGTTAAAGACCCCAAGTCAGATCTTGGGCTTCTATCCACTTGTGTATGTATTTTATGCATACCTTAATGATTATCCCCATTACAGTTCTTTGTTTTTCTAGATTGTGAACCTCTGGAAGGCAAGAATCTTGTCTTAACCATTCTCCTTCTCCATTACCTAACACGGTATCTAATGTTGGGTAGGCAATTGGTACATGTTTGATGAACAAATAAATGAATTACTTTGGCCTAGCAGAGTCAGGGAAGGCTCCAGAGAGCTGAATCTTAAAGGGCCAGTTGAGAAATTAAGCACCATCACAGAAACTATCTACCTACATACACACATGCCTTATTTTATCGCATTTTGCACTATTGGACCCTTCAGATATGCCTCATTTTATCACATTTTGCATTATTGGACCTTTCCTGAACAGATGTCAGGATTTGAAGGAGGCTCCATTTCAGAATTGTAGCGCAGGAGCAGACAGCAGAACAGAGACATAGAGAGAAAGGTTAATTATCTAATTAAAATAACCAAAATATCAGATTAGAAAGATGGGCAATTTGGCTGTCAGGAAGCCAGGCTCTTAACCTGTCAGCTAGGGCTCAGGGCTGATTCCCCAGAGGAGACCAGAAAAATTGCCTGACTACTGTAATGTAGATTATGTGGCTGGCATTAAAGGTTAGTATTCTTGCTTAGGGCCCCAAAAACTCCACAGACTCCAAAGAATGTGCCCTGGTTAGAAGTGCACTGCTGGCATCATGCCATTAATATCCCACTGCTCTGGGAAGGGACAGCTATCTTGGAAATGGTTGAATGATCAGGAGGGATGGACAAGGCTGATATCCACTCAGGAGTCAGTTGTCTTATGACTGTCTTTTATTTCCTTCACTCCTTTTTTAAAAAATTACATTTTTCTCTATCTAAAAAATTATACGTGATCACTGTAGAAAATTTGGGAAGTAAAGAATTACAGGTCGAATGGGGTGGCTCACACCTATAATCTCAGCACTTTGGGAGGCCAAGTCAGGCAGATCACTTGAGGTCAGGAGTTCAAGACCAGCCTGGCCAACATGGCAAAACCCTGTCTTTACTAAAAATACAAAAATTAGCCAAGTGTGGTGGTGGGCACCTGTAATTCCAGCTGCTCGGGAGGCTGAGGCAGGAGAATCGCCTGAACCCAGGAGGTGGAGGTTGCAGTGAGCCAAAATAGCACCATTGCACTCCAGCCTGGACATCACAGTGAGACCGTGTCTCAAAAAAAAAAAAAAAAAAAAAAAAAAGAATTATGACCATTTAAAATTGTATTATGAAGGATTCTAGGAGCATGACTATTAATTAAAGAAAATCTTTAAACAATAATTAGGAAAAGGATGCTATGGGACTTCTGTCACACAAATTAATCAGGTTTGTGCCTCCCAAAGTGCTGGGCTTATAAGCCTCCCAAAGTGCTGGGCTTATAGGCATGAGCCACTGCACCCAGCCAGGTCCTCAGTTTAAAAAAAGAATCTTAAGCATGTATTGTGACTTACTCTGCAAGACTCCATCTCAAAAATAATGAAGTGCTACCTGGCATGGTGGAGTGCATCTGTACCCCCTGCTACTCAAGAGGCTGAGGCAGGAGGATTGATTGAGCCCAGGAGTTTGAGTCCAGTGTGGGCAACATAGTGAGACTCCATCATTAAAAAGTAAGTACATCAAGTACTGTAATCAGGTTTTGTTTTGTTTTGTTTTGTTTTGTTTTGTTTTGTTTTGTTTTTGAGACAGAGTCTCACTCTGTCACTCAGACTGGAGTGCAGTGGTGGGATTTTGGCTCAATGCAACCTCTGCCTCCCGGGTTCAAACAATTCTCTTCCCTCAGCCTCCTAAGTAGCTGGGACTACAGGTACGTGCCACCATGCCCAGCTAATTTTTTGTATTTTTAGTAGAGACGGGGTTTCACCATGTTAGCTAAAATGGTCTCGATCTCCTGACCTCGTGATCTGCCCACCTTGGCCTCCCAAAGTGCTGGGATTACAGATGTGAGCCACTGCACCCGGCTGTAATCAGTTTTAAGTCTAGGTCATAGAATACATATAGCAGAGGAGGGCAGCAGTTTCTTTTATTCTCTTGAACCCTCTCTCATCCTATTCCCTTTGCCCAGTCATATGCATTATTCATCCTTTTTTTTTTTTTTTTTGCATGGGAACCCAATTCATACTCCAGTACAGCTCAAATACCTCTACTATGGCACTTATTACCATGAAATAGAATTGATGTTTGTATGTGCCTGTATCCCCTACTAGACAATGACCTCCATGAGGGCAGGAACTGTGTTTCAACTATCCAGTCACCCTTATATCTCCAGTACCTAGCACAGTGCCTAGCACATGGCAGTCACCTCGCAATGTTTGTGGAATAATAAATGGATGAATGAATCATTTGTAGTGATAATTTTCAGCTCATAAATAATAACCATGCTGTGTTTGCTTTCAGGAGACTACCTAAGAAAAAAAGGAAGTTAAGTCATCAGAGGCCCATGAAAGACACTTTTATTGTTTTAGAAGAAAATTGGGGAGCCTAAAGAAAAAATATTTTATGGCTGAAAAAACACTAGATAGAAGCCACTAAAAAAGAAGAATGAATTAAGGGAGCAATTTTTATTACTTCAAGAGATCCTCTTCTTTCATTGGAATTACTTGATCAACTGTTTTTTTTTTAATGAGTGTTGGTCATTGGCATGGAATGTGAGAGCACTGATCATTTCACAGAGCATATCTATTGGGAGTCTCCTTTCTGCGAGGCTCTTATACTCCTACACACCTTGCTAAGTATGCCAAGAATGCAAGGCTCTCACCACTCTTTATCCAGGACATTTCTCAGGGTTAGGTTGCAGCAAGCAACCTTGAAACACGAAGGGATGTCTCCCATCAGGACAAAGAGCAAGCTTGCTTACTGTTTGCTATAAAAGCAGTGGAGTCCCTGAGCTCAGTGTCCCCCTCCTGAAATACAACTCCCTGCATGTGTGACATCTATCTGGCTCACATCACCCCTGTGAGACTTGGGAGAAGGGATTTCAAAGGCCATTCAGCAATGGACCACTAGTCAAGGTATTCAATGGACATTTCACGCTCCCATTTGCAGGTATCTGCTATCATTTTGACCATTGGAAAGGCCTTCTCAAAAATCAACTCAAAAAGATTTCTGACTCTAACCCTAACTCTTACTGCACACCTTAGTAAGGCAGTATGGTCACTAAATGCACCCTTCCCCAGAAAGAGTTCATCTCCTCTTGGTCTCCCAGGTGATAATCTGGACCATAAGGGTGGAGAGCTATAGAACCTATTTTGAAAATCCAAGATTCTACACTGACAATTGCTAAACACGATGCATCTTTTTTCCCTAACAGCATCCTCAGGCCAGCCTGGTTAGTATACCCTTCAGATGTCCCTGGGGAGAGAACACCTTCGACTACTTGCCAAAAGACAGCCTAGGGAATTCAAATTTAATTCTGGTTCAGTTAGACTGGACTAACATGGTCCTATATCATGATGATAATGACTACTTAGTTTAGTACACTGTTCTCTAGATCCCTCTACAAGGTTCTACACAGGCCAAGATAGGATATAATGGTTCTCTTAATTTTGCAAAAATGCCCCTGTCCCTCTTACATCTGACCCTTCCAGACAAGGTATCTGGATGCAAGTAGGGCACGACTGGAGAAAAAGTGTAGACATGGCTACTGGATGGGACACACCAACTGCATGGCCACAGAGACCCTAGCACCTGGAGAGGGAACACATTCGATCTCAGGAGATGGTGGAACAGGGGGGCCCTTTCATGTTCTTTTTGTCCCCCAGATTCAGCACCTCCTTGTGGCAAACCCTAACTTACTAGCCTTTGTAAATCAAGTAAAATCAAATCTTAGGCCCTTTATAGTTCCTGACATGATCAGGCAGTGAGGTACAGAATTCAAAATTCCAAAGACATGCCATCTAGGGCAGGATGTCTTTTGCTGGTATTTACAACATTATCTCATTTTCAGGTCTGTATAATAGTCTTTCACAGAGCTTACTTCCAACATCATTCCTTTTCTGAGCTTGGATGCCAAGAACCACAGAATTTTTTTTTTTTTTTTTCCTTTGGTAGTCAACCTTGCCACTAGTTCATTCATCCATTTATTAAGTCAGTAGTTTGATTCTTTTGGGGGGTTTTGTTGTTGCTGTTGTCTGAGACAGAGTTTTGCTCTTGTCACCCAGGCTAGAGTGCAATGGTGTGATCTCTGCTCACTGCAACCTCCACCTCCAGGGTAGAAGTGAATCTCCTGCCTCAGACTCCCAAGTAGCTGGGATTACAGGCACCCACTACTACACCTGGCTAATTTTTGTATTTTTAGTAGAGATGGTGTTTTGCCATGCTGGTCAGGCTGACCTTGAACTCATGACCTCAGGTGATCCACCTGCCTCGGCCTCCCAAAGTGGTGGGATTACAGGCATGAGCCACTGCACCCGGCCTGTTTTTGGTTTTTATTTTTGTTTTGAAATAGGGTCTCCCTCCATAACTCAGGCTGGAGTGCAGCGATGTGATCAGTTAACTACAGCCTCAACCTCCTAAGCTCATGCAATGCTTCCACTTCAGCCTCCCGAGTAGCTGGGACTACAGGCACATGCCACCATGTGCAGCTAATTTTTAAATTTTTTGTAAAGATGGGGTCTCACCATGTTGCACAGGCTGGTCTGGAACTCCTGGGCTGAAGCAATCCTTCTGCCTTGGCCTCCCAAAGTGCTGAGATTACAAGAGTGTGACAGTGCATCTGGCCTTTGATTCTTTTTGAACAAGAGGTAACAGTAAAGTTTAAATTAACTTATTTAGCACTCTTTGTAATAAGAATGTTAAATAAGTGTATTTAGATGTATTGTTTACTGTTGTATCTCCATTACCTAGCATATAGTCGGCTTTGTGATACAACAGTAAATAATACACCTACCCTAAGACAGGCTCACAATTTAGTGGGGAAGGCAAGTTGTAAATGAGTCACATGACCACATGATAAATGCTGGAGCGGGTGTAAAACAACTACAGAGCACAGAACCTGGAGTGACTAATGGTGTCTTCAGGAACCTGAAACTAGCATTTGAAGTGCATTTGGAAGAAAAGTGAGTATGGAAGAAAGTAAGGAGCATTCCAGGCTGAAGGAGCAGCAAATGCCAAGGCACAGAGTGATGAAAAGGCCTGTTGTGTGGAAAGAATGGTGAGAGGTTCCATGTGGCTGGAAAGCAGTATATGGGAGACAGTGATCGATGAAAATGGAAAGATGGATAGAGCCAAAATAGAAAAGACTACTCTCCTTGGAGTCACTCAAAAGACATCAAGCAGTGCTGTGGGGTAGACAGTACTTTTAGAAAACTATTAAATTCGGATTACAAAAGTAATATATACTCACTTTGATAACTTGGGAAAATAAATTAGTCATAATTTCACATTAAATGAAAATTTCTAGACCAGGCACGGTGGCTCATGTCCATAATCCCAGCACTTTGGGGGGCTGAGGCGGGCGGATCAGCTGAGGTCAGGAGTTTGAGACCAGCCTGGCCAACATGGCAAAACCCCACCTCTACTAAAAAATACAAAAATGAGCTGGGCATCATAGCGGGCACCTGTAATCCTAGCTACTCAGGAGGCTGAGGCACAAGAATCGCTTGAACCCGGGAGGCAGAGGTTGCAGTGAGCCAAGATCACGCCACAACACTCCATCCTGGGCAACAAGAGCGAAACTCCACCTCAAAAATAAAATAAAATAAAATAAAGCTTCTGGTGATGGTTTTGAGATTTTCTTCAGATCTTTTTTGATGCACGTAATATATACATCTTAACCTTACCTAGATCCTTAATGTATAGAGTTGACATTCCACTATGTTCATTTAGCATGATGCTATGAGACCTTGCATGTCTTTAAATTGCTTCAAAAACATTTTAAATCACTACATATCATATAATTTAAACATAATATTGTTCTTTGTTAGATATTTAGATTATTTCTAGTTTTTCCACTTCATAAATAATATTACAGTTTATAACTTTTACATAATTCTTTGTATCTCTGATTGTTTCCTTAGGTCTGCAAGTAGAATTTCAGGGTCAGAATTTGAGCAACTTTATGGCTCTCTGGAATTTTTGTTTTGTCTCTTACAAGGAAGGACTTTTACACCATAGCTTGTAACATGCAGTTAAGGGGCTTTTTTGGCGGGTGGGAGTTGTATGTAATTCAGCTCTAATTTATCAGTCCCCTCTGCTAGTGGAGGGGGTCTTAGTGTCCCAGTGGGTGAGAATGAGAGGAAATACTGCAGACATTTGAACTAGCTGAGTCAGAGACTGGAGAAGCAGGTTATTCCAGATAGTGCTAAATCATGGTGACGTTGGACAGTCACACCTCTGCAGTCCAGAGATGTACGATATAAAGATACTTATGAGGTTTGCACGACAAGCCAGGAAGCATTTGAGGACTTCTAGCCACAACTCCAAAAGAGGCCAGGGGTGCCAAGGCCCAGAGCTAAACAAAGATTGAGCTATCAATACTGCAGGCTAAAGTTAAGCTGTGTCATCAAAACAGAATGGACAGGAGCAGAGACATGCAAAGAATGGCTCTCACACCTGCAAGACTTGAACATGTGAACATATTGACATGTGTGTAGAAGGAATGTGTAACCACAAAAAAAAAGTGGAAGTGGGGCCAGGTGCAGTGGCTCATGCCTATAATCCCAGCACTTGGGAGGCCAAAGCAGGAGGATTGCCTGAACCCAGGAGTTCGAAATCAGTCTGGGCAATATAGCAAGATCTTGTCTCTACAAAAAATGCAAAAATAGCTGGGCATAGTGGTACACACCTGTAGTCCCAACTACTCAGAAGGCTGAGGCAGAAGGGTTGCTTGAGTCCGAGTTTGAGATTACACTGAGCTATGATCATGCCACTGTAATCTAGCCTGGGTGACACAGCGAGACTCTGTCTCAAAAAAAAAAAAAAAAAAAAAAAAAAAAAGATCAGCCAGGAAGCTCACATAAGAGTCACTGGAGTAAGTGTTGGTTGGGTCTATTCAAAGTGGGAGGGTCTTTGAGCAAACAATTTAAGTATCCTGGTACTTTCCAACAATAATTCTTTGACCAAGTGTCCCACGATTCAATTTGACACTAGCTAACTGGAGTTAGTGCAGACCCCGCAGGTTAAGGAGCTCAGTTCCCACAAGCCTGTTCCCACTACGGATGCCAAACACAAGTCCCAGGTCCCCAGACTACCCGCACTACCCACACTTCTGTCTGACCTGGCTACAGATTTGCTGGGGAGTCCCATGATTCATGGTAATTTGCTGGAATGACTACAGAACTCATGAAAGGGCTATACTGCACTTACGATGGCAGTTTTCTTATAAAGGATGCAAGTCAGGAATAGCCAAATGGAGATGTATGGGGCGGAGGCACAGAACTTCCACACCTCTCCAGACACATGCCCTACCCAGCATGTGGATGTGCTCACCAGTCCAGAAGCTCTCCAAACCTTGTTGTTTCAGGGTTTTTATACGGGCTTCCGTTATGTAGGCATAATTGATTGAATCATCGGTTATATGACTGAACTCAATCCCCACTCACTTTCCCTTCCCAGAAGTCAGGGGATAAGGCTAAAAGTTCCAACCCTCTAATCACAGGGTTGGTTCTTCTGGTGATCAGCCCCTGCCCTGAAGCTATCTAGTACCTACCCCCCATCCCAGAAATGAGTCATCTCATTAGCATGAGTAAAAAAGACACTCAGATCCCTTCATAAATTCCAAGAGTTTTAGGAGCTCTCTGCCAGGAACCAGGAACCAGGAACAAAGACCAAATATATTTTTGCTACACCACATCTCGTCTCAATGGCAAGACTGATACATCTTGATATCTTTGCCAGATTATTAAGCATTCAATTCATCTCTTTTTACTTTTTAAACTTCTGTTTTAGGTTCAGGGGTACACGTACAGGTTTGTTACACAGGTAAACTG